AGATGCTGGCACAGACGACTTCACGCTGGTCAGCATTGTGGCCCTTCAAGTGATATTGACCATATAACATGTATTGGGTTGGCCAAAAAGTTGGTTTAGGTTTATGCGTATGTTATGGAAATGCCCTAAGGAACTTTTTGCCCAACCCAGTAGAACAGTTGTTCAGTCAAATGTATCAGAAGACTCAACCAGTAGTTTCAAATGACATGAGAGGAGATCATCAAAGGCTACTTCTGACCATTGTGGGCCAGTAAGAGGGATCTTTTTAATGAAGCCATTCAAAGCTAATCCTTCAAGATGAAGACTGACCCACATACAACAATATTAATCATCACCTAAGGAAAAAGCTTTTTATTGAAGACTATGTCACGGTAATGTATTTGGTTTGCACATGTGGTTATTGCCTTAACTCCAGTGTTATTTTTTTCCCTGTACAATCAATGTAAAGCTATATCACAGTATTTTAGTAATAATTCAGTGTTTATTCTCACTGATCTCATGTTCTTACTCTAATTGGAGTGTCAAAATTTGGTACTCTGATTAGCATAATAAAGCATGATTAGCATTGTTCTTTTTCTAATCGGAGTACCAAATTGGGAAAAAAAAAAATCACAATCTCTTAAGAGGTGGGGGGAAACATGGGACAAAAGCTTTACAACATTGAATTTGGCAGTGATTTCCTGGCTGTCACACCACAAGCAGGCAGTTTGGACTTAATGAGAATTTAAAAACTTTTTACAGCAAAGGACTTTAGAATAAAAAGACAATCCATAGACTAAGAAAATATTTGCAAATCATTTGTCTCAGAAGATATTATAACCATAATATATACAGAACTCCTAAAACACAACAACAACAAAACCCCAAACAACCCAATTCAAAAATGGAGAAAGGATTTAAATATACACATTTTCAAAGAAGATATACAAATGGCCAGTAAGTACATGAAAAGATACTTAACATCACTAATCACTATGGAAACGCAGATCAGAAGTACGAGATACTACGTTACACCTTTAGGATGGCCACTGTCAAAAAGTGAAAAAACAAGTGTTGGCAAGGATGTGGGGAAATTAGAACTCTTGTACACTGTTGGGAATTTAAAATGATACAGACATTATGGGAAACAGAATGGCAGTTCTTAAAAAAATTAAAAATAGAATTAGTCTGTGATCTAGTAGTTACACTTCCGGATATATACCAAAAGAATTGAGAGCAGAATCTTGAAGAGGTATTTGTACACCCGTATTCATAGCAGCATTAATCACAATAGTTAAACATGGAGTCAAGCCAAATGCATTTATCTTGAGATAAATAGATAAGCAAAATATGAAATATACATACAATGGAATAACATGTAGCCTTAAAAAAGAAAGAAATTATGTGATATGCTGCAACATGGATGAACGTGGAGTTTATTATACTTACACTAACTGAAATGTCAGTCATTAAAAGATAAGCACTTTGTGATTCCACTAACATGAGGTACTTAATTCAAAATCAGAAAGTAGAATGGTAGTCACCAGGGGTTAGAATGGGTGAAGATGGGGAGTAATGTTTAATGGCTGCAAGATGAAAAGAGCTACAGATACGGTGTGTGGATAGTGACACAACATTTTGAATATATTTAATACTACTGAACTGCACACTTAAAAATTATTTAAATGGTTTATTTTATATGTACTTCTCCACAGTAAAAAAAAAATTGAGAAGGAGGCTTGGCTTGGGCTGAGCTAAAATCCAAATATGTGTAGGCTACATGGAGGGTGGGAGGGTGGAGCGGAATGGGGGTGGAAAAGTGAAAGGCATGCTTTAAATAATAAAATCCACTTTAGAAATAATTCATTCTTATTTAAAGCCAAACTTCTTTTCTCTGTTGTGTGTGCTTGTGTGTATATGGCAGATTTTCTGGTATTTATTATGTAATTAGCATCTTTGTCATTTGATATGAAATAATAAGTGATTTTTATTGAATAATGCCACTTTGGCAGTTTATGCTTTACTTATGTAGTAGCTTTCTATTGCTACATAACATATCACCACAGACTTAGAGGATTAAAACAATGTCCAGTTTTCAACTCACAGTTATATAAGTTGGGAGTTCGGTTGAGCTCAGCTGAGTTCTCTGCTTAGGGTTTCTCAAGGCTGAAAGCAGAGGTGTTGGCCAGTCTGGGGCCCTTAATCTGAAGACTCTGGGGAAGAGTTTGTTTTCACACTCATACCAACAACAGCAGCGCCTTAGTGTTTGGCAGCTGGGCTCTGAGGTCCGTGTTTCCTGGCTGGCTTTTGGCCACGGGCCACTCTGTGCCCGTGGAGGCTGCCTGTAGTCCTCTTCTGTCCCCTCTATCTTCAAAGCCAGCAGTGCAGTGTCAGGTCCTTCTCACCCTCTGAATCTGACCTGCTGCCCCACTCCCAACCAAAGAAATTTTAAAGGGCTCGCTTGTTCGGGTCAGACCCAGCTGAATTATCTCTATCTTAAGAGCAACTGACTTGGTACTTTAATTACATGTGCAAAATTCTTTCACAACCTTATTTAGATTAGCATTTCATTAATTTACCAGAGGAGGGAAATGTTAGAAGGCTATCTTTAGAATTCTGTCAATCACAAATAGTATTTGACTCACAGGAAGGTTTTTTAATAGGTGTGATACAGAGTTCATGGGACTAAGATTCTGAAGATCTTGGGTTCTGTGTGACTATTTAGTAACTCTGATCCTGGACTGTAAGGCTCTTGAGACCAACATCTGTGTCTTATTCATCTTTATAAGCCTACTACCTGGCACAGAGCCTGGCATGTAGCAGGAACTTAGAACATGTTAAGTCACACTGAGATAATTTTACCTCTCTGGTTTAATCTTCCTTCATCAAAGAGCTCTTATGAGTTAAAATGGAGACATTTAAAGCATGTGTAAATCTATGAAAATTCTGAACCATTACTATAGGGACAGTGTGCAGCCTCCCCAAAGCCCTTTTCTTTTTTTAAAATATTTTTTTATATTTATTTGGTTGCACCAGGTCTTACTTGTAGCATGTGCAGTTTAGTTCCCTGACTAGGGATCAAACCCAGGTTCCCTGCATTGGGAGCAGAGTCCTAACCACTAGACCACCAGGGAAGTCCCTCATTTTTTAAATCTACCATTTCACTGAACTCTTTCAAGAACTTTGAGAATTAAGACAAGTAGTATGAACTTTTATACAAGGAATGTAAAATGACATAACTTGACTAGGGTCACCTATTCATAAGAAGCAAAGCTAGAAATTTGAATCCGGTCCAGCATATGAATGCAGTTTTTACTTGCCAGTTAATGATTTTTTTTTCATTAAAAAATAAAATTATAAGAGAAAGTGTTTGTGCCATTGATACTTAGAATTGTGAGGGATTAAATCAGAAGGCTGAAATAAATCATTAGTTGTTTTCCTTAGAACTTATTTAGTCATGTGCATTTTGCTCATATTTATCTATTGGTTTTTCTGCAATTTTTTTCTGTAAACCCTTACTCTATGTAGCATAGCCTCTTTTAATTCTATATGTAGTGGTAACAGAAATTGTCCTGACTAAATTAAAGAAGTGAGTAAATAGAACACAGACCAACATGAAGTTCTCTTAGCCAGCACTGTCATGAACTTTTGTGCGTGCATCCGTATCATTTCTTCTCTTGAAGAAACAAAGTCATTTCTTCTTTTTTTTTTTTTTTTCTGTTTTTCTTTTGTCGTTGGTACTGCTAATTTTTACTGTTGAATAAATCCAGGGTCAAAATCCCAAGAGTACAGTGCTTCTTATTTCAAGAACTTTGACCTCAAAATGGGAGACAGACCACACTGGTGCTATAGATTCTTGTTTCTGTTGGTTCTACAAGGAAGGCCTTTTCGGATTCTGGAATGAAATGGTGGCTTTTATTCATATGTGAAACATACTAATCTAGGTATTAAGGACTTTGTCTTATGACTGGTATCAAACTGGCTCCTTGGTTTTAATGAGTTTAAGTGATGGATACCTAGGCCTTGTACTGTTTGGGTTTGGGGTTAGAGAGGTAGATTAGAAAGAGATGGAAGCAAAGAAAATCTTCCAGAGTCCAGTTCACAAGCCCTTCAGCTGTTTTCTCAAACCAAAGCCTGGTATCACAGACCAGAGCCAGTCACCTGTTCCCCAGTTGTGTGATTGATGATCTGGTGGTTAAGCTGAACATGCATATTGGAACTTTGCTCACTTTTCATTTCTACTTCATTGTCTTACCCTTGACCAGACAAATAGGATTCTGACTGATAAACTGGGGTTGTACTGTGACGTACAACCAAGATTGGCGATAAGCCTAAGGCTTAGTGCAGTGATTTCTCTCTGGAAAAACTTAGAGATCATATAGTTAACAGAGAATATGGCTTCAGGGGAATTTTAAGTTATTATGGAAAAGTTATACTTAAGTACTTCCAGTTAATGTAATTGCAATGAAGTTTGCCCTTTTGATTTTGGCTTTTAGCATGGTGAACTACAGTGCTAAAAAGGCTCAGTAGAGAAGTGGAGGTACTCTGATTCAATGGGCATTTGAAACCTTATCTTTAGTATCATAAGTTTGGAACTTTGCTAGGCACAGCTACTTAAAATTCCTCAGGGTTTCTTGTGGGTTCCCACCCACCCCCCCACCCCCCCCACCCCACCCCCCCGCCAACTTTGACTAAAGTGTAATATGTTACAGAATACAAAAAGTGTGTATTTTATTTTGCTACTAAGACATTACCTTATAATTCAGTTTAGCTCAGTCAACACAGAAATTATGGCTGTTTGCTCATTTAAAGAACATGGCCAACTCACAGAAGGATTTTAGAAAATCTTCTACAAGTGTGCTTTTGGGAGGAATCAATATTTCTTTACTTGAAACCAACTTTGATTTCCTCATTTTCCATTCTTTGTGCAGTTAGTTTCTCTGTGGTTTAGGATTATGAACTAAGAAACAATTTTTCTGTTTCAGTATGAAATTTAATGCAAATCTTTCTTGTGTATTCAGCGGCCATTGCAGTCATTTGGACAGACAGGAAAAAGGTCTAAGGTATAGTAAATATTTTGTGCTGGCATGCCAAGGGCCTTCCCTCATGCTTGATGAATCTTTGTTTTCATACAGCGCTGCATTCAGTTTAGTTTTGTCACATTTCGTTTGGGGCAGAAAGCTTATTTTGTTTTATTTGGGGTTTTTGTCTTGCCTAGTTGCTTTTGTGCATTGCTTTTATATCTTTAATGGTTCTTTATCTGTAGAGAAAATGGCTCTCATCATTCTTTGGGTTTTGAGATTGAAGTTACTCCCATTCTTGCTATTGCTGTTATTTTTAAAACTGCAGTTATTGTTTTCCCTCATAACAAAGAGTTTTAATGGTATCTAATGATATATTTAACTTGCACATTTCACCTACATCTATACACAGCAGAAACTATTATAAAGAAACTTAAACTCTAGCCCTAGATTTATGAAATGTAGCGTTAATTTTAAATACTTTTCTTCAGTCAAGCTCAAAGTTAAAGCTAGTTCGGAGCCTTGCAGTGTGTGAAGAATCTCCACCACCCCCTACAGCAGAGATATCACAGGAGAACCAGGTAAAAAAAAAAAAAAAACACCAAAACAATAAACAAAACAAAACAATTATTATTCAAAGATACAATGGAAAAGCCTGCTTCCTGGAGAATATTTTTTCATAATGTTAAATAAAAATTGTATGTGCATGTACATGTGTTGTATATGTTTTTACTGAGCAAAACTACCAATAAGTCTAAGGCTTGGTGCAGTGATTTCTCTCTGGAAAAACTTAGAGATCATATAGTTAACAGAGAATATGGCTTCAGGGGAATTTTAAGTTATTATGGAAAAGTTATATTTAAGTAGTACTTCCAGTTAATGTAATTGCGATGAAATTTTCCCTTTTGATTTTGGCTTTTAAAAATTTGTCAAACACCTCTTGAATGTGAAGGGGAGACTACTCAAGACTCCCACTTGATATGTATCATTTTGCTTAACCTGAATGCATGGTGAAGCCAGTCTTCATAATAGCTTGGCTCTAATAGTTGTCTAATATTTCTTATTCTGTTGTTTATAAAGTATAGAACTACTGAGGCTCAACGAATAGTTTGGTTTTTTGCTTTTTATATATTTTTTTAATGCAGTGACTTTACTTTTCTGTTGATCTTAGCTACAGATTGACCTTTGTCTTATGTTACACTTGTATATTTACATATAATTATTTTTGAACCCCCTTAACGATGTTTATTAGTATGATAACTTTGGCTGTTTGTGGCTTGTTCTACTTTTAAGAGTTTAAATAACCTGAAGTCCCCCTGTATCCTAACAATTAGTTTCCAAAGAATTGAGGTAATATTTTGGTTAAGAGAGATTATTGAATAAAGGAGAAAGAGAAAAAAGAGCTATGACAGATTCTGTGCCCCCTTTTTAATGCCAGTTGTATGTTTGTTGATTCAAGCAGAGACTGTTGCTGCTTTGCCTTGATTTAGAAGATGATGCCATCAAAAGTATACTAGAAATACTGCAGGTAGTTGTCACATGTTTAGAATGTGTTCTGTTTTTAAAAAGCACTATGTGCTTTTATTTTCTATAAGAAGATTTTTTAATAGATTATTGACAAAGTGTCAAGGAATATAGGGATCAAAATTTACTTTATTTATATTTAAAATCTTACATAAATAGAAGATAGTTGTATGTATTCTATAAAAACATATTTTTAAGCAATAAAAAATAAACTTCCGAAAAAATAGAAATATGCTCAAAATATTTTACCAAGAACTATTGCCTGGAGAACCTTTTCAGATGTTAACTTGGCTTTTGCATGCTTGTTGATGAGGCTGAAGAGTTATTTATACACTCTGAAAAAAATTCAATAAATTGTGTTTTAAAAAGCAGTTTTACAAGTTCTTTTGTACATGTCAGAGTAATGAATATACCTGTTCAGGGTTGAGCAGTAGGCAGTGTAATATGGGGTTTTTTTGAAAATTAATGTCTTCATTTTGTTGTCCAAAATGTTACACCATCAGCCCCATAGAATAAGTTGTCCAAGGAGATTGAGGAAATGAGAAGAGTCAGACGTTCATAAGACTGTTAATCCAGAAAAAGTGTCTTCTTTTTGAGAAAAAGTGTAACATACATGATCTTTGGTTTGATGTGGTACATTTCAGCTATCTGAAAATTATGGTAGGAGGTGGAAGGGAGGTGGAGGTTCTTATAGTACTACATAAATGTGTCTAGTGAAAATTTATGTAAGAAATAATATGAGGAGGATATGTTGTATATTGATGTATATATTATTCAAAAAGCTGAGTTGCAGCATATGGATAATGAATAAGCTGGTTGTGCCAAAGTTCAGTTGTTCCACATAATATATTACTTCTCAATTTTTCTTGGATACAGTTAAATTTTTCTTTTGGGATAATAACCTGTTATTACCTTCTATGAACAAAAGATACTCTTTTTAATAGAAAGTCTTTTTCCAAGCATTGAGTTAACTAAATTGCACCTGAATGGGAATTGAAAAATAAATTATTTCTCATAAAATGTACTAGCATCTAATCCTTGACAGCAGACACTTTCCAGCTAATAACGCTTGCTTCAGAATGTGATTTTTGAGGAATTAATCTGGAGTAAAACTCATTATTTGAAAGGTTGAGAGGCAATTAAAAAAGAGATGTCACTTTTGTCTGATGAGAGCTTATGAGAAGGCAATGACCTCAATAACTGGTGTCAGTGACAGAGTGAAGAGTAAAGGAATTATGGCTGCCCATGGAGATAGTGGTATCATTTCAGTTATTTGTAGTCAAGAGAGTTTATGTATAAGGACTTAGGCTTTTAAAATTAAAATATGTCTTGTTTATTTGCTACTGAAAACAAGGCCTCAGTACCAACTGAAGACATGCCTAGCTACATTATGTCTACTAGATCTTTAAATACAGTTCACCTTGATAAAATAGTTTAATATCTGTCTAAATGTGGAATCTTTTCTTCCAACCTTGGTTTCATAGATTATCCTTAAGTAACAGGATAGAAGTTATAAGTCAGGGAAACTTCTAAATATTCTACTTCTGAAACGGTTCTGGGATTCATTTTTAAATATCTATTTTATAGTTTAAAAATATAAGGAAAATAGATTAGAAAGGGAGTCGTAATGAGAAAAATGACTGACGAATACATGATGTTGATTAACGCATGAGGTTTGGTAAAGAAGACAAAGGAGGGCATAAGCAGATATTTTGTCATTTCAGTGGAATTTGCCAGTGCCTCACTTTTGTCCTATATTCTGAGCACAACTTTGAACTAAGATGAAATAGGAATCAGAACTGAGAAAAGATAAAAATAGCAGTCAGAAACCCCATGGGGGGGCGGATATATATACATATATATGTATATGTATTAGATCTTAAACTCTTCTGCCAAATTCCATTTTGAAAAAAAAAAATATATATATATATATATATTTATGAGGAGAAAATGTTTTAATAGAAATCCTGGTGGCTGCAAGTTTCAGAATCTTGAAATTTATATCCCTTCAATATTGACTTACTGTGCCTACTGCCATCACCAACGCTCACCCAGAAAAGTGAAGTTATTTATTAATATTCTCCATCACTAAAGAACAACTGTATACAGCAATTTAGCCTACATCTCTATAGGCTACACCTTTATCTTTAGTAGAAATGTTCTGGAAGTTTGTCTGTCTGTCTTTATAACTTTGCCTGAATAATCACAGCCATGTGATTTTTAACCTATTTCAGCTGTATTTCTAGTAACTCCTTTCTGTACTGAAATTGCATGTAATGACATTGTTTTAAAAATGTAAAATTAGTTCTCCTTTTCAGTCTTAGACAATGGTTACTTTACAGGTGAATGTTACATATCACTAAGGGAAATCATCTTGTCTGAAATCTTTCTGAAACAACTTTGTAGTACTTCGAGGAGGAACAGGGATAGTAAATCACAAACAGGAAATAAATCAAAGTTGGGATTTGGCTTTGAAGTTTTTACTTACAGTTTTATATGATAAGAAAATGAAGGAATATGAATTTAAAGTGGATACTTAAGAAAATTAGTTTTTGGTAAGTGTTAACCTGACACTCATATGTTCCTATTGTCATGAGTGATGATAATTATCATACATTCGTTTGACCGTGGTATCTCCATTGCAAAAATAGGTTAAAAAGACCTCTGTTCTGATCCTTCAAGAGTTTTAAGTAGATTCATTGAAACTATTATAAAAAACATTTATTTTCTCTTAAGATAATTTTCAATTGGTATTTTCAAGGGATATGTTTCACTTGATATATTCAGCTCAAAAAATTAATTTTAACATTTTTTAATCAAGAGTTTGATTAACATGGTAAAGCTATTGTAAGTTGTATTTTCTTGCTTGAAGAATCTGGTTGGATAAAATAAAAACTTTTTTTTTCCTCCATGCAGTTTTGTTAATCACCAATACAAATGTGGGGTATTAACTGAATCATGTTTGTATTTTCACTTAATAACTGATTTTACCTTCCAACAGGAGAAAATTCAGATCCAGTTAACACAATCATTTGAAAAAGAGGAGAAGCCCTCAAAAGATGAAGCAGAAAAAGAAAAAGCCAGTGATAAGTTGCCCAGAAAAATGTTATCAAGAGGTTTGCAATTTATTTCTGTATTTTTTAAACAAAGGTTTTATTTCACCATTGATCCACCCTTTACCCCTTGAATAATTTTATATAGTATATTACTAATAAAATTAATCTAGAACAGACTGAAGGGGTGATACAGTTCTGGGCAAAATGGCATGACACAGATGATGATTTAGCCAAAAAACTGCACCTCATGTCAAAGTCACCAGGGAAGATAACTCATGATCATTTATTGGTCTGTCTATTTGTTTCAAAATAATGGAATCACTATAATTTAAATACTGATTCCATTAAAAATATGTATTTTTAATTCCTTACAATACAAAGAGCTAATGCCAAAATGTTTAGTATGCAGTAAGAATATTCTTGGAAACCCAAGATGTTTATTTTTCAGAGTGAATTTTAAAGAACTTCATCATATGTCACTACAAGCCTACAAAAATGCTTTTTAAATTTATAGACACAGTTATGTTGACCAGTTTTATAAACAGCATAAGGATATTACATTTAAGGAGAAGAAATAAACATGAATATTTGTAAAAAAAAAAATTTCTTTTTGAAAGCAAATTTTTTATGATAAATACTCTTTCAGAGCTAAAGTTCCTGCATATCTCCAAATCATTACCTTCTTATATTTGCAACTGAACTAAGCAGACTCAGTTTGCTGTCTGAATTATTCTGAGTTCTTCTTGTTTAATGAGGCATTTTTGAATATGAGAATTATGGTGAGTATATAAAAGGATCTTTAAGAATTCAGAGTAAATTAAAGTGGCACATATGAGAGAGAGGTTTTCTTTTTAAGAAGGTATATAAACATGCAGTTAACATAAATCCATGTCATACTCATTATATAGGAGTAGCAAAATTGTCATCTGAATTCATCATAAATTCCATTTTCCTACTTCATCAGTTTTCTTTCATTGTGGGGCATCTCATTTTATTTGCTATGCATCATGTGTGAAGGGAAAGGAATTTGTTTCAAACAACTTTATACTGGGTTTTTGTGTTGTTGTTTTTTAGATTCCAGTCAAGAATACACTGATTCAACTGGCATAGATCTACATGAATTTTTAGTAAATACATTAAAAAACAATCCCAGGTAAAAATTAAATTTATAAGGTTTACATTGCTTCTAGAGTACCATAATTTTGCTATATATGTTTTCATTTCTGAGTTAGAATAAGATTAGAATATTTTAAGTACACCAGAAACATTTCAGTTTCTTAGGGCTAAGATGTTGCTGGCCTCTATATTCACATGTGTAAATACCTTTTTTGCATTATGTATATCATGATGATATAAAGATAATTCATACTCTGTAGGAATTTTGGGAAATAAAGAATCACTAAGATATTTTGGGTCTTAATTGAGACTAAAGAGTTATCATTAATCATGAAATATGAGGGAAATATACCTCATGATAAAGCACTCAGCCAAATTACTCAGTATATTCACTTATAACAAGTTTCTGGACTTAACTGAATACAGAATTTTTGTTTCTTCTTGCTTAGTTTATGAACCTCCAACCCAAAGATTATAAGGTGCTTATTTGAGTCACTAACTAATTGTGAAATCCTTTGTTTTGCCAGGGTACTAGACTTTAACTTTTTGGCAGGTCATTGATCCCATTGAGGCATTCTTCCCAGAAAAAGGTTTATTCACAAAATATCTGACCAACCCATTCTTGGAGAAGACTCGAAGGTCAGGAACCCCTCCTCTAGATGTTAGCTCCCCAGAATGGTGGTTAAATTTGTGAAATTTTTAGTTCATTGGGTGGGCACACGTGATAAAAAAACATGAACAAGTTGCTGAGGTTTATCTCATGTCTTACTTCAAGATACACCTTTAATTTCATTGAGGATTTATTTTTTCAGTACCAACTTGATTTTCTATTTCACATTTAAGTTTAATCCCAAATGGAGAACCACTAAAATGGAAAGCATTCTCCTTATAGTAGGAAGTGTAAGTGTGAAGTCAGTCAACTCTGCGTGACTTCTTTGTTTCAGTTCATGTTGATTCCTCAGTGGTCCCAACTGAACGTAGTCCATTGAATAGGTGTTCGTTGGGTATCTATCATGTGCTCAGCACTGTGCTAAACTTTGTAGATATAAAGGTGAGCAAAATATAATCTCTGACCCTAAAATATTCACTTTCTATGTGCTAGGGCAAAATGGAAACCCCATGATATATAATTAGAATAAATGTTGTAAAAGAAGTTTTTCAGGGTGCTATAAAAGCACAGTGATGGGATCCCACCTCTGAGAGGACCTGGAAAGGCTGCACTGAAAAGATAATGCCTGAGCTGAATTTTGAATTCACAGTGCTTTCAACGGGAGCATGAGAACGTGAGAGAGACAAGAGCATTGCTAGTGCACAGCAGTATGAGAGGGAGGTGGTTTACCCAGGCAGACAAGATTGTACACTGGCTCTGGCAGGAAGGCATGTAGCAAGTAATTCCAGAAAGTGATGGGGAGTTTGTTAGTAAGGTATGACGACCCACTTCAGTTGTCCTCAACCTAGATCGGTACCAACACACTGGAGTGGTTACTGACTAAGAGTGCTGATGGGAAGCCAGGGATGTGATGAACAATTAAAAATCATCTTCGCTGAGATGCAGTAGTGCATCTACCATTTGAGAAATACTGAGTATGGCATGCTTTGTGGAGAAGTCATGACAGAATTTTGAATAGGGTAATTCCAGAGTGAGATTTGCATTTTAGGAAGATTACTTCATCAGTGAGGGGCCAAGAATCATGAGCAGGGAGTGTGGGTAGGAGAACAGAGAGGAAAAGGCTTATTCAGAAGATGTTTAAGAATTACTCCCGTGGCAGGACTTGGTGATTTTTTGGATATGGAATAGTAATGGTTTGTTAGAACAGAGCAGCTGCTAGGTTTCCAGCTGGACTGATGGTTAATCCCGTTAACAGGGGAGGTAATAAGGACAAGCCTGAGTGAAGTAAGACATGTTCTGTTATAAATAAGTATAGTTTGAGGTATCTAATGAAACACTGGCAAGATTAAGTATATAGCTCTGATTTTCAAGTAAATGAGCCTGGATGCTGTTACAGATTAGGAGTCATCAGTAAAGGTGACCCTTGTTTTGTGAGTCTGGCCAGCGAGATGCAATAAATGACAAGGATGAAATTCTATGGAAAAACAATATCTTAAAGGTAGAGGAGAAGTAAGAGACACGGAGTCTGAAATTGCAGAGGAATCATGAGGACATTTGTCTTAGAAATCAGCCAAACAGCAACAGTTTCATTAAAGGTAAAATGAAGCAACCCATTAGATTAAGGAACTAGGAAGTTGTTGGCTACTTTAACAAAACATTTAGTTTGCTGTAGACTGGTAGAAGTGAGAACTCAGTAGGTTAAGGGAAGGTGGAAAATACATAGCTAGTTTCTGTAAAGCAAGACGGGATCCTAAACAGATAGGACTTTTCCTTTTTCTGAACCCATAGCAGGTTCAGAAGAAATTCCAAAATATTCTTCTTTTGTGCAGTTTTCTGTTCTCCTCTACAAATGCACAAGTTTTTACATTATCTGCATATGTGTTTTTGAAGTGTACAACTTAATGATTTTTAGTATATTCACAGATTCATGTTACCATCATTACCGTCAATTTATGAGCTTTTTCATCCACCTCCAAAAGAAATCCTTAACCATTTTGCTATCACCTCCTTATGTCCTGAACCCTAACCTAGCTTGTCTCTACAGATTTCCCTTTTTTGGGTATCGTCATATGAATGAAATCGTATGTATGTGGTCTCTTGTGATTGGCTTCATTCACTTAGCATAATATTTTCAAGGGTCATCCATGTCGAGCAGCATGTATCGGAACATTAATTCTTCTGTGTTTGCATTTTTATTCAAAAAAATATGTAAGTGAGCCATTCATATAATGGCTGATGAGTAAGTTAATACTAATGTCAGTGTGGTTTACTTAGTTGTGGCTAATGTTAAATTTTGTGAGAAATACGATTTTCCTGATGGCTCAGTGTTCTCTCAATGAAACACACCATTAATTGCCAGACATAGGTGGCACAAAATTAGTAATAAGTCTGGCAAATTTCCACTAGAACTTCAGAGCATTCTATATGTTAAGCAGATTTATTTTGAATCATACTAAAGTCTAGTTTACATTTTATTTCAAAATTTTCCTTCAGATCCTTAAATCTTGTTCTCATCCCAATGAATAAACTTAACTTCAGGTGTTAAATAACCATTTATCTGTAATTCCTGTTTTAAGAAATAACTTTCAAAAATTGTAATAACTAGTCATTACTAGATTAGAACCCAGGAACCTGCAGTTGCCCAGGATTGAGATTACACTCACTGACATGGTTTTTATGTGTTTTTGTATTGGTTTTATAACCATTTTCTGTAAATTCTACGACATACTGAAGAAATATGGACAGTATAGGCAACTGTGTCACTAATGGAGCCCCATGGATAAATTCTAAGAGTATATATTTTAAAAGTAAGCGATTTTGTTGTAGGGAACATCATGCAATTGTTCTGTGCTTGAAATGTTTTCTGAATTTACTTTTATTAGAGATAATGTTTAAATCAGCATATTTCTTGCCTGTTGCAGATATTTGACCCAGTTCATATAGAACACTGGGAAGGGGATGGTCAAAGGGAAGCATTCTTGTTTTCTTATTTTTTATTTGCCACTTGTGTACCAGCTGCACATGCTTTCTCAAAAGTCAGTTCTGGTATGATGACTAGAACACTAATAACTAAAAGATTATTGCCCCTTCATTTTAACTTCATGTACTTTATTGGTCAATTTGATTGAGATCTTTGTTTTTCTTATGTATTTCTTTAATAACAGATAGCATGTATTGGTTTCTTTTAAAGATTATACGATGACAAGTTCTATGTGTGTCTATAAGTTCATGTGCTAATAAACCTATGCCATATGAAAATTAATTTATGGATCTGTTAGTTTGAGTACTGTATGTAATGGTTCTGTAAAGGATTATTAATTTTTGACTTATGGCCATTACCAGGATATCTAACCTTGATGACAGAGTTGAAAATTTGGAAACTTGGACTAAGCTGTAGCAGATGTAAGGCAGGAGGTGTAAATCTTGAGAACTTAGGAAAGTTATTTTTCTAACAAGTTCTACTTTTTGCTAACTAAAAATTTAGTAAACTAAGTAGGGGAAATTAATTTAATAATAAGTGGTCCATGTAATAATAGAAAATCCTCTGCAACCCATAAATCTACATATAAAAGGGAAAAAAGCCTGAATTTGTATCAATTACTAATAAAATTGTTAGGTTTTTGTTTTCTTTCATGGACAACAGAAATTTCTTTTGAATACCAGTTCATTCACTGAGGAATATTTCACATATTGTAGGCTTGCTGTTTAGCTCAAACAGAGGAACCAATTTAAATGCACTGTTTCATGAATGCTAAGTAAGTTGCCTGCCTCTGATTCCTTTTTTTCCCCTACAATAAGTATATAAAATACATTAGAAAATTTTACTATGTCAAGACAAATTGACCCCCAAAAACATTAGAAGAAAAGAGTCAAAAAAAAAAAAAGAAAAGAGTCTTAACATTAAGTAAATCTTTTTCAGCGAAAACCATATGAAGTAAGTAAAAATTTCCCATCCTCCCCTAAAATTTTAAGGAAAAACATTAAAAGACATTAGTAAAATAATCTGATGAATTTATTCCACTCAGATTTGTTGAGCTCCTCACTATAGCACAAATAACTATATAAAAGTAATTGTGATAAATACTCTTAAAAGGTATGAAAGAAATAGGTTCTTCTATGAAAGAATGTAAGAAGCTGTGCTAGGGACTTCCCTGATGGTCCAGTGACTGAGACCCTGCACTCCCAATGCAGACAGCTTGGGTTCCATCCCTGGTCAGGGAACTAGATCCCACATGCCGCAACTAAGACCTGGTGCAGCCAAATAAATAAATGTTTAAAAAAAAAAACAAAAAACGTGCTGGGCAAAGGAAACAGCATGTTGGAGGAACCTGTGAGAGGAACGAACTTGGGAAATACAGCGATAAGCCAAAATGATGAAGGTTTTGTGAGAAAGGGGCAGGAAATGAGTCTAAAGAGATAGATGACTGTCATACTTGCCTTGTAAGGCACATTGCGTTAGTGCATGAGGGTGCTCAGTTGTGTGATTCTCCAGGCAAGAATACTGGAGTGGGTTGCCATGCCCGCCTCCAGGGGATCTTCCTGACCCAGGGATTGAACCTGCATCTCCTGCATTGGCAGGCAGATTCTTTACCACCAAGCCACCAGGGAAGCCCCATGGGCCATGTTACAGATGTTCATTTCTAACCTAAGAGAAATGGGAAACCTGTGATAAATGTTTACCCCAGACCATAACATGGCTTCACATTTGTGTTTTTAAAAGATTGTTACGGATGTTCTAAGTAAAACAAATTTGGAGGTAACAAGGGAAGATACAGAGAGATAATATACTACTGTCATAGAGGTCAAATCACTATCCTGAATACTTGGTCCAGGGTAATTAATGGCAGCAGAAGGAGGGGAAAAATAGATCGAAGGTAGATAAAGTTTGCAATTGTAATTAACTGCACGGGAAGATTTGGAAAAGCACTGTAGTGGGCAAAAAAAGGTACTTCTAGTATGGTATGCTGAGTGAAAAGGTGGTGCCACTTGCTGAGGTGGAGTATACTAAAGAAGAAAAATTGAATGTTGCTGGAATTTTTATTAAAATGTAATCCTGTTCCACTTCGGGTTTAAAATCATCACTTAGGCATGTATTCTCTTGATTTTTTTCAACTGATATAAAAATTTTTATGGTTAATATTAGTCAGTTTTATAAGACTACTTTTGCAGTACAGAGAGATCAAACTCAGGGCTAATGTATAGACTTTCAGGCAACTTAAGCAGGGGAAATGATGTCCTCCATTTGAGAATCTGAGAGGGATCCACTATGTAGTGTTTATTTGAGAGGGAAACGTTAACCTCTTGGCCTAGTTTTCTTGATTTACAAAATTTCAGAAACAGAAAGCTGCTTCTGTAAAGCTGCTTCTAACTTTAAGATTCTTGAGGTTTGTTTTTCCCACATGCACATGAAATTTACAGTGACCACAGGAATACTCTCTTGAGCTATGTTCTTGGTGTGTGAGCAAGGAGGTCCTTTGGGGAGTGGTACCAGTAACTTGTTTTGTAAGTGCACTAAATAGGACCCTAGTGGTCTGAAGGAGCACATGCAGGTGTTCCCTAGTGTCCTTATTTATTTTAATATTGGAGATACTTGGTTCACTTTGGTATTTTATCGAAAAAATTCCCAGTGTCTTAAAAATGTGTTACAGTGATTTTCAGAATAATTTGAAGTCTTCTTCCTCTGAGTTAGTCTTAGTAATATAGTTCATACTTCTCTGCTGTAGTTCCATTTATATACAAGCATTGGATTCCCACTGGAGTATTCCTGTTGTTACTGGCATTGCATGTTCTTTAGAGTACTGTTTCTATGGAGTTGAGCATGGTAACAAAGTCATGAGCCTACCTAAAGATGTCTGTTTTTGTGCTGCTTCTTACTTTATTGAGTAAGGGATAAAGACTAATATTCTGTTATAATCCATGTATTTGCAGAACAGAATCTAATATAATACAATAGTACTTAACAGATCAAGATAATGATAATAATGATAATTTTGAAATTGGATGGTATTCTCCCTACATTTGTATATGTGAAATTTTCCATAAGTTTTTTAAAAAGTCATCTTTATTCTTTTAAAATATTACTTTTTTAGAAAGCATATATCAAGCTTGTAATGTTCTTCAATGTACAGGTTTTATAAAAAGTATATATATAGCCCTGTAAATTCAACATTTATGATTATTTCAGTGTTAAGTTTTACAAGTTTTCATATTTTGTTTCAGGGACAGAATGATGCTGTTGAAATTGGAACAAGAAATTTTAGATTTCATTGGTAATAATGAGTAAGTCCTGACCTTTAACAAGAAAATAAATTGTCATCACAGTTATTCAAGATCTGCTAAATTAGTCTTTCTTCTAATTCTAGGTCTCCCCGTAAAAAATTCCCCCCAATGACATCTTACCACAGGATGCTCTTGCACAGAGTTGCCGCTTACTTTGGATTAGACCACAATGTTGATCAGAGTGGGAAGTCAGTCATAGTAAACAAAACTAGCAATACAAGAATGTAAGTATCAAGAAAGGTTGTTATATGTGTGTGTGATAATTCTTTATCTTTCTGTAACATTTTTTTTTTTTTTCTGTAACATCTTTTATCTCAGGTTTTCCACATGTTTTAGCAGCCTGCTTCAGCTTTGTGATAACCTTATATGACAGGTCTAAAAAATACACTCTGCTCACGAGATATAAAATGCACCAGTCTGGACTGAAATAAGACAGGTGACTAAAATAAGACAGGTGAATGAGGATTGCTTTTTTTTTAAAAAAAAAAAAGCAGGAAAACCCTCAAAAGTCATAATGTCAGTGATGTTTAATAACCATTTTATTATGGATTTTAAATTAATACAATTTAAATAGCTACGGCCAACTTCAGGCAAATTTAAAAGGAAAAAGCAAACTTTAAAACAGTTACATTTTCACTAATTTTCTATCATTTCACTGTCTTTTCCATCTCTGTTTTTGCTTCTTTTCTTCCACAGATCTCAGGACACTGGGACTGTTGGTTGGTTAATCCAATATTATCCATAACATTGTGTACCCTTCTGGGCTATGTATGACTTAGTGAGCAAAAAATTTTAAGAAGAGGAATCATTTGCTTTAAAAAATGTTAGCTTTAATAAATAAATAAATAATTAAAAATAAAAAGTGTTAGCTTTGTAGTATGGTGAAATAGATAATCAGTGCTGATATTTGGGAGCAAAAGGCACAATGCAGAGGCACCTAAAGTTATATATATAGTCTTTTGCCTATTAGTGATATATATAGTCTTTTGCCTATTAGTGAAACTAATCCTAAAGCAACCTGTTGAATTCAGCTAAAATTCTTCATGGTGATCTATCAAAAGAATTGTCTGTTTTAATTTCATATGTGACAGCAGTGGATCTGTGAGCAGCAGTCAGCTTCAGATGCCATAAATAATGCTTTTCAGTTCATAATTTTTCTTCCTTCCTTGAAGCTAGACTTCTCAAGGTTCTGTCTATTATGAACCATTTGGTTTGCACAATTATATTTAATTCATTTATTTCTCTTTTGTTATAATGGTCTTTACCCTTGCAGCAGCTATCATATTGTTTGCTTGAACTAAGTTGGTTTTCTTCCATTTCAAAGAATATTTTGTCAAAAAGTTACATTTATTGGTGGAAGCTTGTACTTTTTAAATGATTGTTACTGCAACTAAAATTAAAATAATGAAGACAGCTGTCTTTGAAAAGGATCCCATATTTCTTTAGGGATTAAGTTTTACCTGCAAATGTGAATCTGATTTAATTGTCTACTGCCTATCTTTTAGTCTTTTTTAAGTATCTTTTAGCTTTTTCCTAGTTAGTTATATCATGACTAAAGTGGGACAGTAACCGTAAGACATGAGCTGGACTGAAGGTGAATAGAAATCTACTTCATTTAACCAATACCCTTCAACATTACTCAGAGCTGCTGGATACCCAAGCACGTGTTCATTAGCAGGCATTTTGACTAACATTTCGACTGGTGACTCTCTAAGGTTTTCAATGCAGTGTAACCTCAGTTATTTGAATACTACACATGTATCAGGGTTCTCTTTATCGAGGTAGTCAAGAGTTTAGTTAAACACAGATGTTTATAATGTATTGATACCTAAAGAAGAAGGATCAATAGCATAATTATAACTAGACATTTCAGATCATTGAAGTTACACTGTATTTTTATTTTTTTCTTCTGGAATATGAAGAAGGATGTAAATCAGAAAACCTTAGAGATCTGCTCCACATTGAATAAAAACAAACTTGCCTTTTCCTCATAGGCAGATTACCCGCTCCAGCCTTGAACCAGTGGTGTTGTGGATGTCAACAACCCGGTGTCCACTGGGGTGTCTCATTGGAGCGGGAAGTTGGCGATTGCAGGGCAGTAAATTCAGGCATCTATAAAAGACAGAGGTAAGACAGTCTTAAGGTTAGCTGAAATGCCTGCTAATGCTATTTGGTGTGGGAATCCAGCTGCTCTTAGAAAAGTTGCCAGGCTCTTGGTTAAATCTTACAGTCATATCGGAATAACAGTCTATCACCCAAGTACAAACTCCTTGAAAGAGAAGACGTGATTTTGAACAGCTGCAAAACAGTTGATATTAATCAATGGGACAATCATGTGACAAATATGACAGTATACTGCCATTGTCAGGATTAAATAGATAATCTTTCAAATTCCTAAAGAAAGCAGTCTTTTCTCTCATCAGTTTGGCCATGGAATTTTTTTTTTTTTACTTTTTTTATTTTTCTCTTTAGTTCTGTGTATAGCTCTATGTGGAGATATGTTCTGTTTCATGCATCTAAATATATTTTAAAGATTTCTTCAGCTTACTTAGATAATTCTCATTTAAAATCTTTGCATCATTGGACAGAATGTAGATACAGTACTATATTAAAAATTCATTAAGTTAAAATAAATATTCAGAAGTGTTACTTGATTACTATGTATAATGAAATATCTTATGAAGTTTGCTGAAGATGTCCTTACTCAGGTTTATTTGTTTTAGAAATTTATTTACGATACCCATAATAAATTATATGACTATATCATATATATTTTAAGTATATGTAAAAAATTGCTTAGGAGTTCAGTTAGCCTTTCTTTATTGCCTGTAAATATATTTTTTATAGATCACATATTTCAGTTTTATGATAGGATGATATTAAGTCTCAGGAGTGTTGAATGAATTAATTTGTTGTAGCTGAGAATATATATCAGAAAGCGAACTTTTTATGATTATAATTTTCCAAGGGCAACAGTGTTCTGTCTGTTTTCTGGATCCCAGCAGAACTTGGCAGCATTTCCATAGAGGAAAAACCAATCAGCCATGAAATAAGTTGTTAAGAGTTCATAATCCTCACTTTAGGTCATAACGTTAACCTTCAAAATACTTCAAAATACCTGTTTCAGTTAATACAAAACAAAGATGTACTCCGCTGTAATTAAGAAAACTTGGTAACTTGGTAGCATTTTGAAGTAGTCTCTCAAGTTTTATTAAATTCAACCACAACATATTTGGTTATGTAACATCAGAGCAGGTACTGTAAGAGTGTAACATAAGATACTGTGCTATACTTTTTCCTTTGTTCCAGAATTATTTCTTTGAGTTAAAGGAGGCAGTGCAAAGAGGACAGACAGGCTTACATACCAGGGCTCCAGCTATGGCTCGGTCATTTCCTTGCCCCCTGATCTTGGACAGTTGCTTTAGTCATTTGATCCTAAGTTTTGTCAGTAGTATTTATAATAATAACAGACTTCTACTGTTTACTATTTTAAGTGCTGGTCATCTGTTAATTCATCTTCAGAACAACCTTATGAAGTAGGTAGACTGTAATGAGGAAAGTAGGGAAAAGAAAGTTTAGTAAGTAACTGAAGCAACTAAATGTTAAAACTGAGTATTTGAACCTGAGCAGTCGGATTCCAGAGCCCACAGTGTATTTCATATTTCCTTTCAGTCATGACGTGGGATAGTTAATGTTTTCTCATAAGATTATTTTTGAGGAATAACTGAGATAACATAAGTATCTATAAATAGCACCAGTGAGTAGGAACATACTACCTTTTACCACTTTTCATAAAATGTAATATTTAACTTTTTTATCTGTTTTGTTCCCTTGGTTTTTGGTTTATTCTTTAGACCTGATCAGAAATTTACTGAACATATTAAGGATGATAAAGGTGAAGACTTTCAGAAACGATATATCCTCAAGAGAGATAACTCTAGCTTTGACAAGGATGATAACCAGGTAACCTAGCACATTTGGAACATTTTTATAGATGCTGGACTTATCCTGGCAGATCATTTCCCCAAGATTAATTGTTCTCTTTTCTTTAGATGAGAATACGTTTGAAAGATGACAGACGAAGCAAATCTATAGAAGAAAGAGAAGAAGAATACCAGAGAGCTAGAGACAGAATATTTTCCCAAGATGTATGTACTGACTTATATTTAGGTCTTTGTGTTTAAATATATGCTAATTGCATATTCACTCCTTCCTTAATCTATTGATCATATTTACTTTCAGCTACATTTGTTACATATAAAGTCATCTTTTTAGAAATACTATAGTCCTACTCATGTTAATGATTTAATAGTTTGTAAAATACTACATTGCTACAGTTATGTGTACTTTCAAAAGTTGGAAGCAGATCAACTAAGAAGTAGTACTTTGGATTGAGTATATAGTTTATATAGTATTTTTCCCTCTCAGATGTCTCACAGAATGGAGATTTTTGGAATATTGGTCACTTATCTACAAAATCATGTGCCCTAAATCCTACTTGCTAGTGGACTTATCTTGATAAATAACTTGTTTCTTTTAAAATAAAGCTAATTGATTTTTTAAATTAATATTTATTTTCCACTTTATATGTGATTATATGGAACAGATCTTTTAAGTAGCTGCTTATTTTACACATATATTCAAGAAGGGAATCAATTTGGTTTTTCCAGTATCTGTTCTGTGCAGTACTAGGGACTAGTCAAGGATATAAGAATATATGTAATTTGTGTTAATACTTTCAGAGATAGAAACTTTCTCTGTATTAAAAAAGAAATGACACTAAAATCTAGACTGTCAGTTAAAAGTTTATAATATTCAACAAATCTTATTGATCACCTTTAGTAGGTACTTTGCTGGGCACTAGATAAATGTATTCATGCACATTTACGATAAATTATCTCCCAGATGGCCCTATATGCGGTATCACTGTTTATATTCACAGATGAGGAAACAGGCTCCAGGAGACTAAGTAAAATAGACAAAGATCATCTAGCTAGAAAATGAAAGGATTCAGCCTAGGTCTTCTGAACTCGGGGCCTAACCTAGATCTGTTTTCCTCTGTAATTGTGAGATGGATGAGGTCTCTACCCATGATGAGTATTGAGATAATGACAATACGGTGTGTGATTGGTATAGAAACATGAAGGTGAAATAGGGAACACAGTAGAGATACACCAAAAACCAGAACTCTGGAGTGAGAGGAAGAGTTAGCTTCCAAGAGGAGACCTGAAGGATTGAAGTGTCCATGTCCAGGGTCAGCATCTGCAGGTGCCAGAGATAAAGGAGAGCTAGACTCATGAGGAACTGAAGAATTCATAATCCACCTGGATTTTGGCCTAGGGGGCAGGAAGTGAGGGACGTTTCAATTGGAGAATTAAGCAGGAATCTTATTTCAGCTTGCTCCTGAAATCTAGTGCAGGGAGTTGAGTTTTCAGCTAGAGCAGGGTTCAGCAGACTTTTTCTGTAATGGAGCAAATAATGAGTATTTTAGGCTTTCCAACTATATAGCCTTCATTGCAACAACTCAAAATTCTCATTGTTTAATACAAAAGCAGCCATAGACAATATGTGAATGATTGGACATGGCTGTGCTCCAGTGAATCTTTATTTAGAAAAGCAGGTAGCTGACTGTAGTTTGCTGACCCCTGTGCTAGAAGGTAGGGCTTCACTGGTGGCTCAGAAGGTAAAGAATCTGCCTGCAATGCAAGAGACCTGGGTTCAGTCCCTGGGTTGGGAAGATTCCATGGAGAAGGAAATGGCAACCCACTCTGGAATTCTTGCCTGGAGAATTCCATGGACAGAGGAGCCTGGCAGGCTACAGTCTATGGGATTGCAAAGAGTCGTACACAGCTGAGCAACTAATACTAAGCACTAGAAGATCAGTGAGCTATTAAGGAGTGGAAAGTCATGATCAGAGCGGTTTCTATGGCCTCTGCTGTTTAAATTGGATGAAAGGAGCAAAACTGATAGCTGGTAAACTAGAAGACTTATAATTAATACAAGATGCAACAATGATGGCTATCTGAGTCAGGTTGTTAGCACTGGGAGGCTTTTGTCTGTAAGCTGCATTGAGGCATAGCTGCCTTATCATTGCTATAGCTGCTGCCGAAGCAGAGCTGATCAAGGTATTTCTTGAGTGAATAAGGTGGAATCTATAGACATGTGTATATCTTGAATATTTAACAGTGAGAATGGGTTTACGTGTTGGAAACAATATTTGAATTTCAAGTTACTCTGTACAACAGAAATGAATTGCTTCAAAAATAGTGTCTGTTAAAAGTAAACATAGTATCTCCAAGTCAAAAAGATTCTTCATTATCATTTATTTGTGTACCTTATCACCATGTTTGATTTGAGGACCGGGAGTAACTGTTTTTTGTGTTAGTTATTACACATGATTTTTGTTGTCATCATTGGTTTGCAGATGGCATTATTTGACAAATGCTCAACTTTTTATATCTTCTTTCTTTCTAGTCCCTGTGTTCCCAAGAGAATTATATTATTGACAAAAGGTGAGGAATTTAACATTTGTTCTGGTAAGTGTCTGACTGACGCTAATAAAAGTAAAAATGTTTTATTAAAATGCCAACAGAATCCAAGACGAGGATGCTAATAGCACTCAGCAGAGGCGCCAGATATTTAGGTATTGGAAGCATGTTTTCATGCAGTACAGTATTGAAAATTTAGAGCTTTTTTTTTTTCTTCATAATTTTCCTTTTTGTCTCTGTTGGCTTTTCAGAGTTTTATTTCTGAATTACAGAGTTAATAAAGATGCTTCGGGAAGATCAACAAATAGCCATCAGAGCAGCACTGAGAATGATCTGAAGTGCTCGGAGCCGCGGCCCTGGAGTAGCACAGATTCGGACAGCTCTCTCCGAAGCTTCAAGCCTGCCGTGACCAAGGCCAGCAGCTTCAGTGGGATTTCAGTGCTGACAAGAGGCGATAGTTCTGGAAGCAGCAAAAGCATAGGCAGGCTTTCAAAAACAGGTATAAATATCTGTCTAGAACTGTGCAGTCAAACATTAGTTTCCATAATGTTGGCTTGGCATTTATCATATGGCTTCTGTAATTATCCTTAAATAAAAGATTCTTATCAGCAGTATATTGAGCACCTCCAAAGTACTTATGAGGTAATACGTGTATTGACATTAGGATTTATTCTCTGTGAGACAGATTCACAGACATCAGTTAAAATAAGAATCCTCCACTGTGATGTAAACTTAAATCAGGTTGGTTAATGAGATGTCATCTCTTGTTTAAGTGCCTTAGGTGATTGGAAATCCTTCAGTGCCTAGTTACAGTTAAAAGCCTTGGTTTCTCACACAGGATTAGTTAACATTCATTGCATTTTTAGCTAATACCATTATTAGCTGAAATTCAACCACTACTATCATATCATTGTTTGCATTTCATGGTAAAGTTCACTTGCTGTTCAAAAAATGTATAAAATTGCTGAGACTTTTTGAGGAATTTTCAAACTGAAGAAATGTAATACAGTATAATTACTACAGATGAGTAGAAATTTCAGTAACATTTTCATTCTAAAACTTCTTTATTTTACATTACATAACTTTTAGGCTCATAGCATTTACTCTTTTCACTTTCACTAACTGGCTTCAATACTAAAAAAGTTTATGTCTCTTTTAGGATCCTCGTAGATCTTTATTTTTATCCCAAAATAACCAAGAAAATCAGAAATGGCACTCTCCTATCCTTTTGGGTAAAACCTAGACATACAGTTTTACAGATAACAGTTGAAGGGAGAGGTATAAATTTGAAGGTGACAGTATTTTTTAATCTCTGACTATAATTCAGTGCTTTAAATTCTTAAGGTTTTTGAATTGCACTTGTCATCTTTTTAACATATAATGTGGATATTTAAAATGTCTTAGTGTATATGATATATCACCAAAGAAAGGTAAGTTTTATTAATGTAAGAAATATGCACATGTACCAAATATGCATTTATTTGATAAATGGTCACTTAGTCATCAGGTCGTCATAATAAAACTACTCATGTGTCCTGAGAAAGTCATTTAGACATACAGCCAGATCAAAACATTTTAAGAACATGTGCTATTTATAATCTATATTATCTTCAGAGATGAAAATAAGTATATTTATTTTTCATATAGTTACTGGAAACAGTTATTTTGGCACAATGTAAAACAGAAGTTATCCTCCAGGGAAATCTGTATAGTGTGTCATATTTGTTTACTTCTTTCATGAAAAATTAATTCTTCTCATAGAGTCAATTCTATTTTTTAAAACCTAATTAACCTAATTCATCAAAATCTTTCCCTTTCTTCATTGTTTCATTGTCTCCCTTTAGCCATTATACATCAAATTAGTTTATTAAATATAGTAAAAAATTTTAAGCCAGTGCTAATATAATTGCTTGGAATATTTTTATTCTATCTTTGTCCCTTGCTATGATAAAAATGGAAAGTTGACTGTACCTTGTAGGAAGATGCTGTGATTATGAGTTGAAATGAAAGTATGCAATGAAACTTGAGAGTTGTTTCTCTTGGTAGAGAATTTATTGTTCTTTATTATTTCCTACACTACTCTTAAATCTTTCTGTGTTCTTATAGATGAGGGGTTTCTGATATAAGAGGTTTGGGCATTTGGCTGTGCTAAGTTGCTTGTCCTGGGGAAAAATTATAATCTGTATATTCCTAGGTGTTAATCTAAAGGTAAAAATGTATATAACTTTGTCCTTTTGGGAATGTGGGTAATGTGTTTTTTTGTGGCTGTCTGTGGCTGATGTTATTATAGACTTATTTAAGTTGCATGCTTTGCCTTTGACTTACCTGACAACTTAATGTGATCAGTCTTGGTGTATTAAACTTGTTTTTGGTGGGGAGGGGAGGCAAAATTGTACAGTAAATCAAAAATAATTCATGCTTTTTTGTGTTAACTGCATGTTATGCATTGTGACTTTTATTGTTATGTATTTAAAGCCTGCATCTTTATATGAGGTTTTAAGAACTCCCTTTTCTGTTACTCCTCCCCTAGGTTCTGAGTCTTCTGGTAGTGTAGGGTCATCTACGGGCTCTCTCTCACACATCCAGCAACCTCTCCCAGGTACAGCTCTTAGCCAGTCTTCTCATGGTGCACCTGTCGTCTATCCAGCTGTCAGCACTCATAGTTCTCTTTCCTTTGATGGTGGCCTAAATGGGCAAGTTGCATCTCCTAGCACAAGCTTCTTTTTGCTTCCCTTGGAAGCAGCAGGCATACCACCTGGCAGTATTCTGATCAACCCTCAAACAGGTTGGTATCCAGAAAAGGTTTATTTCAGTTGAGATATCAGGAGTTATCCAAAAATTAAAGAATGTATATTAAATGTATTATCTGTGTATGTGTTGTCGGCCTTTTATTTTTCATACGTGATTAGCGTTTTCCTGGAATTTTATTAAAAACAGTTTATGCTAGAGAATGTTAAAAGACATATTTATATCCGAAAATATTTTTCTCCTTGTGACATTGGTGACGTCATCTTTTAGGTCAAATAAATGAAACAGTTCATTTCCTAGAAGTGCAACTACCACCTTTGAAAGAGCTTTATTCAAAAGAAGAATTTTATCCTGGGGAAAATAGTATACATTTCATGAAAAAGGAGAACATTAACAGCTCTTACTTCTTTTATAATGTAGTGAAAAGAACCTAAAAGTAATTGTCCTTATGAATATGGTAATTGCTTTCTACTGAGGAAAAGTTATTATAAGCTACATCTTATTATTAATGAAAAAGTAGTCATTGTTAATTAATATTGACAACACATTGTTTGCAGCTCGGAGGTAGTACTTTGTGTTTATTGAATGTTTACTATGTGGCATATACTGTGTTGTGCTTTAAATACATTCTGTATAATAACCCTGTTAGGTGAAATCTACTTTGAGAGATAAACTGAACCTCAGAGAGATTAAGAAACTGCAGTCATTATATATGTTAATTTTTTTCTTAAGTCAAAAGAAGCCTTGGTTGCTAATCAAAGCAACATAGCCCAATCATATAGTTAGATAATGAAAACAACCTTAAATTATTCGGTAACCTTCCTTAAATATTCACAGATTAGCTGATATGGTCAGACTAGCATGGTAGTTGTTTGGCAAGGTAGGTCCAGGTCAGGGTCTCTGAGTGTTCCTGAAACTTTCCTTTTGTTTGTTGTAGACAAAACCGTGGCTTGGAACTTGCCAAGCCACTCAGATATCATTTGTATCTTTTGTTTCTAAGAAGCAAATTAAATTAGCATAGGAAACTGACTCTTAAGAAATTCCATTTCAGTTTATAATGGTTATCTTTTGATATTTTAGGTCTGTTATATAACTAAACTGCCTATTTTCCTGGAGCAGGATATAAGATGATTTAATATTTTACTATTTTCTATTGTTTTTCATTCCAAACATTAGTTAATATGTTTTTTGAAACATGGAAGTGTCAATTTGAGTAGGAAATAATAAAGTGAGAAACTAATCAACCTGAAGTTGAATTGTATACTTAATTTTAAACTAGTCCAAAAGTGACCTTTTTTTGAGAAAAGCATTACAACACATCCAGCTTTTTTCAAGCAGTCCTTAAATTATGCTGAAACATACTTTCACTCAAGTCTAATCTACCATTGTTTTAAAAATTAATAAACAATCCACAAATATCCAGCATGATTTCTTTTTAGTTCTCTATATCCATCACATGAATTGTCAGGAAATTAACTGATGAAAATAATTTGACTTTGGAGAACTTTTCCCACTTGATCGCAATGGAACAGTGTATTCTTCTCTCCCAAATATTATCTTATTATATGTCACATACTTATTTTTTAAAAAGAGAATGTCTGGGGGGCTGTTTAAGACACTATTATTCAGTCAAATTTCTCTTATTTTATATTTTTCCCATCCTAAAAGGGTATCATAATCAGTGATCTTTTTATTTCATAATTTTCTTAACAATCCAGTGTATTTTTTTTCTTTATTTTTTTTTAGTCATTCAGTGTATAGTATGGGAAAAATACTAATCTTTGGGTTCTTTTTTTATCTTTGAATCTGTATGTGCATTGAGAAAAAAATCTGGAAGAAGGTATCCAAATTAACTATAAGGTTATGGGGAATTTATTTTCCTTTTGATCTGTGTTCATTGGTTTATTTTCCCACAATAAAAATATTACTTCATGTAATAAAAAGTTGTTTAGAATATATGTGTAGAGAGTTACTTAAAATATTCCTCTAGTAATTGATAACCAATAGAATAAGCCTCAAAATCAATACTGAAGTTTCCTCTCATTTTGTTTTTTGCCCATGAATAAAGCTCACTGAAATTAAAAGGAAGTTATTTTAGATAATTATTTAGAATTTTTAGATTATTTTCTACTTTTAGCAGGTTAGAATCTATGAAATTAGGACACTGCTATCAAAGCCACAATTTGAAATTTGAAGTTATCAACCATTTAATTTTCATCAGGTTTTAATCTTGCTAGTTGAATATATGCAGTGCGATCTATATGTTAAATATTTCCCATCTAACAGGCTAATTAATGAATTTCCAGTATCCCAAAGTCAAGTTTTGTTTTGTTTTGTTTTTTCCCTCAAAACTGAGATGTTACACAGTCCTGTAACTCAATTCCTTGAGCAAGGTGTGTTTCAGAATTAAGTTTTTTGGAAAATACTGTGTATTATAATATAATCTGAGTGGATTCTGGAGTGACAGCACCACAGTGAAACACTGCAGCAAAATTTTTGAATATTTACTCTTAAGTGGGAAATACAAAGTCTAGAAATAGCCTTGTGTAAAATCAGACTTTGCTTTCCAGGCTAAGAAGAAAAAGCTTTTGGTTTTCAGAAACTTGAGGCCTTTGGAATTGTGAATAAGGATTGAAGATATGTTATAAGTTATTTATAGAATGACCTATATTCAGTCTCCATTGTAAGTGATTTTTTCCCCTTGTTCTTAAAATTTTCAGGTCAGCCCTTCATAAACCCAGATGGGAGTCCAGTTGTGTATAACCCTCCAATGACGCAACAGCCAGTTAGAACCCAAGTGCCTGGACCTCCGCAGCCTCCTCTGCCACCCCCCCCACCTCAACAACAAGCAGCTAATCACATTTTCTCACAGGTGCACATATCCACAATTACATAATGCTAAGTTCATCTACCTTTGCATATTTGGGGCTAAATTCACTAATTATCACTGACATAGCCCACGTAAGTATCTCTTAGAACTTTAATGTTCTCCACCAGTGATGTCCCACTCACTGCTCCTAGGGAGAGAGGTTAACTTCAAGGGCTTTTCTGCAAAAGGAAATTTTTATCTCATGATCCTGTGTGGTGGGTATTTTATCCCTGTTTCACAGTAGCAGGAAATGGACAAGAGGAATCAAAACTAAGATTATACATTATTCCAGTGAACAAAGTGTGTTGTTTTAAAAGTCAACAAATTAGTCACTTTATAAGAAATTGAGTTGTTGCTTCAAGGTACTTTCCATCCCACCTACCCTATGAAAAATAAAGACAAAAATGCTTGAGTTAGAAGTATCAAAAGCACTTTTAATAATATTTTGAATTTGTATAAATGTTTAAGAGTTTCCACATATGTTTTCACATTCAGGCTTTTCTTCTAGAGATGTGTTACTCATTCTTACTGGACTTGATTATTCCAGTGTAAACTCATACTTTCATTCTGTCTTTTAAAAGGTTGTATAGCATGTCAAAGACACTTTGTACAGTTATCTGCACCTCTTTTTCCCTGGAAGACAATCTTAAGTATTCCACTGGTGAGAACATGGAGAATATTTTGTGACAGAAGTATAGTGGTAAAGTTGAACTGGAGAAGTTTTATTAGTTTTGTTCACAGGTTAAATTGTTTGTATTACAGGAGTGGAAAATGTATGAGCAGTTTGATGAAGTTATCACATATTTTTAAACTAATTAAAATAATTACTGCTCTGGCAATTAAAACTCCTTATTGGGCAAGGCAGGTTGGACTTGTCGGTTTTTTAACTTTCCAACCTCATTTGATTACATGCACTCAGGTAGATATTAGACAGAATAAAACTCCCTCACAGTCCTTCTCTGTCTAGGTTTCATTCAACTTGGTCTTGAAGTGTTTCTCTTTAATTTGCTATCATGTCATCTTTGCAGTGCTATATATTTCATCAGGAGTTTTACAGGGCAGATTTTCATTTGATTTAATTCAGTGGAAATAGTCTGGCAGCTTCAGAAAAAAACCCTAAGGTTTTATCTACAGTTATATATTTCAGATTATTATCTCTTAGAAATAGCTTTGTCTGATTTAGTTTTAAGAGACAGTCCTAAAAGATATAGGCAGCTTACTTTAGAAATGATGTCTTAATAGACTATAATTTGAAATCTCGGGGTATGTATCAAACTCCATGGTTGTTTTCCCTGGCATTGCTTCAAGTGCTTCTGGTAATTTTTCATTGAATACAAGAATAGAGACTTGATGAACAAATGATACTCACCAATGATCTTTTGCACAGAGATAATCCATCCATGAAATTTCAGCTAACCAAACAAAATAATGCCTGATTTCCAAAGCTTTCAGATAGGCCACATTCTTGAAACCAGTCCCTTTAAGTGAATGCTGTTTTGCAACCAGTTGCAACTGAAGTAGAAAAAAAGGACATGCTAAGGCTTTTTCTTTCCTAAGAGTTGTCAGAGTTTCACTTTGATCAGCCAGTCTCCCAGCCCACATTTTTCTCATTACCACTTGACACTCTGACAGACATAAAATCATACCCTTGGTGCTCCTATCACTCCCCTTTCTCTTGTTCCCCAGCAGAGTAAAGCTTGTGTTTCATTTGACACTTACATAGTAGGTTAAGTTGTCTGGAAGAAAGTTGTGTCTTTATGGTTGTCTGACTTAATAACACATTGAAGAGCTTGTACTTTGTAGTTTTAAAGCTACTGCACCTCATTTGGTGTGATGCGTGCTGTCATCCATTAGGAAGCTTGCTAATTTCTTCTCACTAACCTTCAGAGGTTACTCTTTAGATCTTTCAACTTTTGCTTTTCTTAGTACTTTAACTGTAGGTTTTTTGTGTTTTGTGTGTGTGTGTATATAATTCTAAACTACTCAGAAACTTGATTTTGTTGTGGAAGGGCAGGTCAGCATTATATATCTTAATCATAGGAATTTCTCTTTGTCTAGATTATTCCTTGAGTAACCTTATTTTGTTAATTTTGCATTTCTAAAATATACTCTTCAAAAGTATTGTCCATTCAAAAGTTAAATGACTATATGCAGGTGACTTAAACAGATTGCCACCTGTATGCTGGATTATGATAGTTATTAAACCAATATGTGTATTAGTCCTTTGTAACAAATTACATAAAGGTAAGATTGGGAAACTAATTTGCCTGTTAATTGCCAGGTGTATTCCCTAAAATTTAAATATGATTGAAACTTCTTTCATTCTTTAAAATACCTGTGAGTACCCTTGGGAAACATAAATCTTGATTTTTTTTTTTTTTCTGATATGCAGGAGTATTTTGTTAGTAAAATTTCAAAGAACTTCAGTGGATCTTTATACACAGATTTTTTTATTTTTCCTAGCATGTACATACTACAGTATACATGATCTGTGATTATTTGGATCCATGGACTGGAATCTGCAGATGTAGGGCCAGCCATTTATACCCAGACTTTTGACCCTGGAGATTCAGTGTCCCTAAGCCCTGAGTTGTTCAGAGGCCCAGTGTAGTTTCTCAATTTCTAATATTCTCTCAATAAAAATTTTTAGTTAGAAGAAAACTGTATGTATCTTCCTTATATAGAAGAGATCTATTTGTGTGTGTGTTTTCTTTAGGCTATTTGTAATGGTACCTACAGTATATTTTCCTTGAAAAATTGCTAAAGTTTAGGCACTTTGGTCCCAAAAGAGTAATAATGCCTTGTCAAATAGAATACTTGACATAGATATTATGTTTGTTATACTGTTTGATAATAAGAATAGAAGAAAAATTCTATTGCTAGTGTTTATATAGCTAAGTAGAGCAGCCCCTTCATCAAACCAGGAAGAAAGAATAAAGGGGGTTGCTTTTACAGACATAACCCAAGGGTCTTGTAGGATAACATTTGAAATCTCTAAATTACCTGTTGTAGTGAATCAAATATTTTTATGAAAAAATTACTTTCTAATTATGGTTTAAATTTAAATGTATGTTCTCAAAACTTTTCTATGTAGAGTTTCCTCGCTCACTATTGTTTTCGTTGTTTCCTGTTTTGTTTTTAAGATGACTGTAGCTTTGAGCTATTGCCCGCAAACTGTAACTCTCCGTTTGTGTAGCCCTTCCCTAGCCTTCTGTTCTGACGTTAACACTCTTTGCCGCCTGTTGTTCCTCAGCCTGTTCGTGCTCCGCGGCCCCTTACCCACCCCGGCTCCTGCCAGTCCCACCCACTCAGCAGCACTCCGTGGTGTACTCTCTTCACCTCCTGCGCTGTTTCTTGGGCGTGTGTGTGCTGAATCCTTGTGAATGTGATTGATGTGATGTGTTCTTCTGTGATTTCCTAACGTCAGGGATACATATATTTTGGAAAAAGCATTTTTTTAAAAACTGTATTAGAAATAATTCTGTTCCATAAAATATTTGTTATATTGGCTTATTTTGGCAATTATGTAAAGCCTAATATTTTCCTTGTTTTTCATACTGAAATAATCTTCAGGTCCTAAGATGTTTTAACTACTTTTCTCATTGAGGCTGGTGCAGATCTGTGCAGTCCTGGGGTGGCAGCTTTTATCTGGGTTTAGACTTTCTTTCCCCACCAGGTCCAATAAACTTTGTATCAGTCATTGGAGTGAATTGGAACTTCCAGTTTCATAAGACATCAAGATCTCTAGATATTTAATCTATGACTATAAAGTAATGGTCCTCCCTTTAATCCAAAGCATGCCCCAGGTTATACCTCTCAGTAAGAGCTCCGTAATGACCATCTCTAGTTAGTGAACATATGGGACCACAATATAAAGTACCTCCTGCATAGTGCCTAAAATGAAATAGATACTCAGTAAACATTAATTCTTTCCATTAAGTTGAATCTACCTAACCACCTGTATACTTTTTTCCAGTGATGCTCTTACTTTTCAGACTATATGGTCATCACATTTTGAAACTATAAGATGTCTCTTAAAATCACTCAACACTTTTTAAAAAGTGTTCTGTTGAGAGTGTTTTTGTTTTGAGCTATAGGGCAACCTTATTTACCAGCCTTGGCTCTGAATGATTTTCAAAGATCACTTTCAGTCTGAGAAAATGAAATTTTGCCAGCATTGAGAAGGTTGAGAACATTTTTTAAAATAACATAAAAGCCTCAAAAATGTTTTGAAAAATGGCAGATCGTTGGAGTAAGAAAATGACTTTTTCACCAAGATGACTGTAATGGTGGTATATATCAATCATTATGGTATCTTTTTTAAATATATTTGGACATATTACATTTTTATTACAGCTGGTAAGCATTTTTAGGTATATTTTCCTCTTCTGAAGTTATTCATTGTATTAGGTGCATAGTGCTAGACTAAGTCAGAACAACCATTTGGGAAGGGTTTTAAAGCCATGCCATGTATTTTCAGTCACTAAGTCAGGTTTCCTTTTTTTCAATCCTTTATCATCTCCATAGTCTTAATTTGCTTTGCAAAAATAAGCAGATTATAGAAATTGCAGACATGTCAACTTTGATCTGACAACTCAGTTGCCACAATTTTTAAAGTAATTTTCCTTTTTCAAATTTTTCCTCTCAGTAAAAAGTGATACACATTGTTGCCAGTCTGGCTCCTTGGAAACAAGGGAATGCTATTTTAACCCCATGGTAGTCATTTCAGTTGATACTGTGTAGACAAGTCAGAATTGGTCCTTACTTTGTTGAGGCAGATAAACATTTGTCAGATAGCATATAGATTGTAGCCTTTTCTTGACACCACTGCCTGCTCTCCAAGTAGCAAAAGCAATAGAAAACTGTCACCTGGTTTACATTTGCCTAGTATCTGATTTAAGGAGTAGACCAAAAAACACCAGGGAAGAATAGAATGGATAACCAAATTATTTTTGAGTTTAGAGAGAAGATCAGAGAGGGTAGATTTTATATATTTAGATTCATTTCTGCTACTATATTTGATCAATAGGAGGAAATACAGAAATGCGTAGAACCTGATTCTTCTTACCTTTGGAAAGAAGGGCCTTCACGAGTAATTAGCACCACGCCTGACTAGACTCCTGGTCTTTGAAGTCCTTTCAGAAAATGTTCATTGCCTAATAGAAAAGTGTACCTTTAATCTTCATTTTAAATAAGTGTCTCCATTTTTTTATTGTGAAATGTGGTTATATTCTACTCTTTTCTGCATGCTATACATTTCCATGAGATATATTTTATAAGTAATTTGTGATGACAGCATTGTAATATTCCTACCTTCCTACCTCAGAGTTACAATTTTCTTGAAGCTGTTCTTCTCTTAAATCGTGCTGCTTGTAGATATATAATTTCCATGATATTAATGTATACTACTGCAGCTCTTCTTAAAATACATGAAGTATCTTTCTTTGATAAGATTGGTCTGTGTACGGAAAGCTTACTGATTTCTGACCTCTGCCTTTTTTAGCAGGACAACCTTGGGTCTCAGTTCAGCCACATGAGTCTTGCCCGCCAGCCATCAGCAGACGGTTCTGACCCTCATGCCACCATGTTCCAGTCCACTGTTGTTCTTCAGCCCCCGCAGCAGTCTGGTTACATCGTGACGGCAGCCCCGCCACCGCCGCCGCCGCCGCCGCCTCCCCTACCGCCTGGGCAGCCAGTCCCTGCTCCTGGCTATTCTGCCTCTGGTCACCCTGTCAGCCAGCCAGTGCTTCAGCAGCAGGGATACATCCAGCAGCCCTCTCCGCAGGTACATTGCTTTTCCATCTTCCAGCTTTAGAGACCTTAATTTTAATGTTGCGCGGAGAGACTTTCTGAGAACCAGAGAACAGAGCTTGTCACCATCTTCCCTTTTGCAGACTGAAATGGGTACTAGACAACCACATGACCGGTAGATACTTCAGTTGGAGGGTTAAACTATATGATCTTCGAGTTCCCTTCTGACTCTGAGAGGTTCCTTTCGTTTTAACTAGCTTAAGAGAAACACAGTAAAGTAAATACACTGTGAAAATAAAACGGTACATTTTAAGAAGAAATAGATCAGTTTGGGGAGAATTAGCCTCTAAACACTGTTGAATCGCCTATGCAAAAATATGTTACCTCTCTCCATTTATTTAGCTCTTCTGTAATTTTTTTGTCAATAGTATTTTGTGGTTTTCATTACACAAGTATTACATATAGTTTTTTAAATATATCCTAAATATTGGATGTTTAAAGTGATATTCTAAAGGAAATTATTTTTAAATTTTATTTTCTATTTGTTAACTGATAATATGTAGAAATAAAATTGTTTTTTGTATATTGATCATTTTTTTATCCTGCGGACTTTCTAAATTTGATTGTTCTACATATATTATTCTTTCCAATCTCTTTGCCTTTTGTTTCTTTTTTGCCTTATTGCATTAGCTAAGTGCACCACTGTAGAATATACTCACAGGAGAGGGAAGTAACATCTCTAGAATCCATGTATTAACTGAAATGTGTTTTGAAGTACCTATGCTTACATTGTTCCCAGTCTTAGGGGTAAGCTTTCAGTCTTCCATCATTAACTGTGAAACTATCTGTGGATTTTTTTTTGTACATTTCTCTTATATTCCTAGTTTATTGAGAGTCTTTACCATGAATGGATATTAATCTTATTTTAAAAAATTAAAAAAAAAAAACACAGATCTCTGTTCTTTTAGAAGTAGCCCAATCAGAAGAGCAGAACTTGAGAGCCCATGAACCTAATGAAGTTAACTCTCTACATACTTCCATATCAATGGATTAATTGTTTATTCTTTACCCCAAACCAGATCCGATTACGTTTAGAGAAATTCACAACTGATACAAATGGCTTTGGGTAGAAAACTAAATCAGGCTAGTCTTATTGGCATTTTTTCCAGCTTTATTAAAGTATAATTGACAAAATGTGTATTGGCATTTTAATTTGCATTACAAATATGAGAAAAATTAAAGAATGCAGTCAGTGCTAATGTGCATATGTAGGAAAGGATAAACTGACTTACATATTTGGTGATAGCTATTCAGCAGGTAAATTGAATGAGCTCCCGATACATGCTTTAACCAAAATGAGTCTCAGAAACAATGTTAATTGCAACATAAGCTGCATGAAGTTATGTGAATGAGTGTGTGAAAGTTGCTCAGTCATGTCCGACTCTTTGCGACCCCATGGACTATACAGTCCATGGAATTCTCCAGGCAAGAATACTACAGTGGATAGCCTTTCCCTTCTCCAGGGGATCTTCCCAACCCAGGGATCTAACCTTGGTCTCCCACATTGCAGGCAGATTCTTTACCAGCTGAGCCACCAGGAAAGCCCATGAAGTTATGTAAAGTAACCATAAATGTGCGTTTTTAAAATTCTCAACAATTCTATAGTATATTCCATAGATAATTGATAATAGGTTACACACACACACACTCGAGAAGTTTAAAAATATTTATGGGAATGATGTACACCAACTGTGAGATAATGATGCTTTTTCTATGGCATGTAGAGCAAAGGAATGTTGGAGTGCGCCTTTAAGTATTTCAATAGTATTTGGTTTTGTAACAGAGAGAAAAATCTGAAACAAATATGACCAAAAAATTTAAATCTACTAAATCAAATTTAGTAGTGGCGAAATTGCTATATATCTTTTGTTATGTATACTATATGTTTTAAATTTTTTAATTTTTTTTCAGGTAAATTTAAAGCACAGAAAAATCAGTTTTCAGATGATTAGTGATGGGGAGAATTATTACTCATTACACTCTGATATTTCTGACAGGGAAATAAAGATTTCTACTGCACGTAAAATTAATTATTTTTCCCTCAATCCTTGTTCCAGATGCCAGCCTGTTATTGTGCTCCAGGCCACTACCACTCTAATCAACCTCAGTATCGCCCAGTCCCTTCGGTCCATTACAGTTCACATCTGAACCAACCACTGCCACAGCCTGCACAACAGACAGGTGAGTAGAATTCATGAGTTTAGGAATTCTCAGCTTTGAGTATTGATGTTTTTTCATCCTGGTTTATTTCTGTCTTACCACTAAGGTACTGCCAAGGTACTGCCACACTCAGTCAGTCAAGGATTTTAGATAGATGAATACATGTGAATGTGCAAATCAGTGAGAGGAAAAGAGTAGGCAGATCTTAGATGAAAAGAGTGGGCACCATCCAGAGAATACCCTACTGTCAGGTTTCCATGCTAAAGACTTGGGAGCCATAATGAGAAGAGTGAGCAGGTTCGCAGTGCTGACTGCCACGTAGCTGCAGCCATCACTGCGTCCTGTAGTAGACAGCAAGACTTAACAGAAAAGGCAAGTTAAGATATCTGCTGAACAGGTAACCCAAAACAAGGCCCAAAATGACCTAACTTTGGTTGAGAACTCTAGCCTAGAGAAGATATTTTGGTGTTTTCATCTCTGTAGGAATGCATTGAAAGGAATAATGTTCTTACACATCTTTTTTGTGTTTTATTTTTCAGTTTTCTGGTTGTGTAGTGAAAGGTATATTTAAACCGAATGCAGTCTAATCCTAAACATATCAAATGTATTAAAACTGGAAAGATTGTTTTTCTTTTGCCCCTTTCAAATTTTCTCTCAGCCTTCCATGAAGACAACTATGATCTCAGTGTAAGAGCTATCTTACTAATTTTACTAAATTCATTTCTCTCTGTGCTTCCCACCTAGATGTGTGCTTCTGCCCCAGATGTTTAATAAGGTATTCTTTTCAGCCTTTTACATAACTCTAGGTATTGAAAGAGAATTTTTATTGGTTTCCTTGAAGCCTTTTTAGCTGCTTGTCACCATTTGAAGGTGCTCAGACTCCATCAGCATGACTGCTGAGGCCACATAACCCTCCATCTGTTCTGGACAGTTTCTTGCTCTTGCTCATGTATGTAGCCTTTGATGGGTTCCACAATTTCAGGAGAAAGACATCTGCCCTGCGTGGTCTGATGAGAGAACTGTTCTTGCCTCTCCTCACTCGTGCAGTCCTCACTCATCATCAGCTTTACCAGATAAGACTCTTACTTATCACCTCAGCAGGGAAACTTCTAGGGCCTCAATCTGTTGCTCTCAGAAGCTGTCTTGTACTTAATGTGTAGGTTTTTCCCGTTTTTGTGTTACTGGCCTTGTCTTATATATGTGACAAACGTTCTTCCAAAGGATGTTGAGTACATACAGTGGTCATTTTGGCCAACTTAGAATTTGTCCTCTGTCTCAAAATTGACTCCCTTTAATTTCAGGGTTTCCTGAGGTTTAGTAATATATTCCACTTCAGCTGGTATATGCTCTAATTTTGAAAGGCATCAGAAGCTGTCCCTTATACCTGGAGACATTGGTCATGACACTGCTCACTAACTTTAAATACATTGTTGTTTTATTCTAATAGAAATTATTTCCTAAGTTTCCTGGACCTCCTTGACTGACTTTTCATATCATAATTATGATAGTTTATTATTTTTATTGTTTTTATTTTTTATTTTATTTATCATTTGTTTTTGTTATATTTACTTATTTATTTATAATACAGATTATATTTGTTATTGTTATTTTTATTATATTTTATTTATTTTATTTTTTAAAACATTTTTATTGTTTAACTTATTACATTTTAATGTTTAATTATTTTATTATTATTTTATAAAACAAATTATAATACAAATTACAGCTAATGTTATGATAGTAAAAAAAGAAATTGGCCTTTTCTTTCCCCATTCAAATACTTTGCATGTGACTAATTAACTTATTAGTTCATTAGTATACGTAGTTAATGAAGCGGGCAAAGAAACTTTGTTTTGTATTTGTGTGAGCTTCTCAGTTTTATTCTTTTTCATGGCTAAATTTTATTCTTCTCTATTGTCAAAGTGCCTGCAAAATTAAAACTTTCAATCACAGTTTGGACCACTGTGTTCATGCACATGCTTCTCTACCAAAAATATTCCCAATTACTTAAAACAACTGTGAATGCCACACATCCCAATTCAGGGCCAGAATATCTACATAACAAATGACATGTGTTCATTATCAGTGATATTTTAATTGTTGGGTTTTTCTTAATGCTGGTGGTTGTGGCGAGAAGGAAAGAAACAGTAAGTTAGATTGCATCTGGACAGTACAGGCACAGAAAAGTGTATGTACATGTCTGTATGATTTTGCCATTGTGTTTGACTCTTAAAAGAATCAGTCATAATATTAATGTAACACTTTATAACTAGAGTTGGTTCCTTCTCAACTCAAACTTAAGGTTAATGTCATTCAGATTGAAGAATAGAAGAGAAATAAATCCTCAAAGAACCCTTATCTGAAAGGGGGAAAAATATTGTTATGCTAGTAAGTAGGAAAGGAAATTTCCCTTTAAAGAAAATTTCAGTCATGCCAGTGCCACTTAACTTTGTTCGTCATTATATTGAACCTTTGTATGGAATTTGTAGGAGTTGGATGATTAATATATATAATCTAAAGACTTTTGTGATTAGCCAGTGATCGTTTTTTATGTCTAAGCTAACAGAAAAAAATGTGCATTTGGGACTTCCCTGGTGGTCCAGTGGTTAAGAATCCGCCTTGCAATGCGTGGAACATGGGCTCAAATCCTGGTCGGGAAGCTAGGATCCCACATGCTGCAGAGCGGCTAAGCCCGAGCACTGCAAGCAGAGCCTGTGCACCACACCCAAGAGCCCGTGCGCCACAACTCGGCCCCAGTGGGTTCGCAGAAAGACGCTTTTAAAAATGTGCATTTGTGTTTGTGTGTCTCCTAACAGAAAAGCAGAATGCACTGGGAAATTCACACAGTAGCTTTTCGGTTCTGATGTTCTTTTTACAGATTTAAAGCAATTTACTTTGTAGTAACTTAAATTTTTGTATGTAAACATTATACTTTCTCGTTTTCTTCTTTTTTCTTATATTTTTTACTTTCCACCATCCCCATCTGATTAAAATTAGAAGCAATTTGTTAAATCCCTTAGATAGATAAGATAGATAAGTTAGGACAACTTATTTCCACTGAGGCACAAATAAATAATTATTAAATGTTTGCATATGAATCTGAAGAAAATTTTGCTCTAAATTAACAAACCCAGTTGAATCAGATATTCTCAGATCAGTAGGGTATGAGCAATATAAACATAGGATTTTCTATTATTTTCCCTTTTGAGGGCAGGAAGGAAGTTGGGGAAATAGCTCAAGGATTGGTCTTCCATCCACATGCCAGAGGACTGCTATAGTTACTGATCTCCTTAACAATAAACCCATCTATTATGGGAACTGAATTGAAATCAGTACTAACATCACTGCTGGGGAAAGAACATAAAAATCTTCTGTTATGAATGTGAAACTACTATGGTCATTAAAACAAGGTTGAAAGGTTGAGTCAACCCCTGTCAACAGGAGCAGAAGAAATTCTGGCTATCATAAGCCCTTTTGGACAATGTATTGTGTTACATGAAAGAAAACAAAATAGGAGTCAAATCCTAACAGCCCTTATTTGTATTTAACTGGTATTAGGTATATCATGTAAAGCCCCTAGGTTTCAATTTACTCACTTGCAAAGTAAGGGAGTTTTGTTAATACGTCTGTTGAAGCTTCTGTGTACCCTACAATTCCATGATTCTGTATGTCTGTCTTAGATAAGTCATTTCTAGTTCAGAAGCGTAGAATATTGGAAGATTGGTTTGCAATAGCTTAGTGCCTACTGCCGTTAACAGGAGCCATACAAGCAAAGATTTTAAAAGATCGGTTACCTTCCAGCTGCAATAATAAGAATTTGTTATCTTAACCCTTTACCATAAAATGTACAACTTGAATACTATGGAGTATATGATAAAGAAACTTCCTGCAGGTAGTAGTTACAGCAAAGATTTTAGGTTTCTGAGGCCTGGCTGTTCTGTTTAGCTGCTTTCATTCTTAGGACTCTTTTGAAAAGTTTGCAGCTTCACCATATATGTTTAATATTTTGCAATAATTGGCCTTGTTCCTGAGCTGTTGGATTCGGGGCCGTAGCACTGTCTGAGAGGTTTACATTTCTCACAGTGAACCGGTCTCTTTTTCAGCTGCTTCCTGGCTTCTTTTTACTCAGGTTTCCACTGCTTTCTTTTCTTTTCTTTTTTCCCTTCTTCTTTCTTTTAATGCTATATTAAAGTGTTAACATTTGCTTATATTTTCCATTAATTGTAATGCCTTTTAATCATGCTTCATACTCAGAAATAGGGATTTGAATTTAAATGACAACCTTGGCTTAATATAATTTACCTTTTAAAAAATTCATGAAAGCTGTTGCTTTAATTTCTTTTCCAAAGAAGAATTGAATGACAGATTGCTTTTGATTAGAGCTTTTCTTGAAAGTTTAATGTCCTATGAGCATGCCAGATTCTTTAGCGAAAGTCAAATACATCTTTTTCCCTATTACTAAATAGCTTTTTAGGAGTATTATTGTGCATGCCATTAAATGGACTTAAGATACATAAAATCATTTGAAGGTATTTGAAGGGATATAATTTAATTTTTTTCCAAACTGTGATATTGTATGCATGTGGGAAGCAAAAATGACTCCATAAAGCTAAATATCATTTTAGTTTTGCAGCCTCTGGTAATTCAAAGATTATCAATGCATTATACCTGTAATCTTAGCTTTCCATTCAGCAGACTACATTAGGGTCCTGTTGACCACAGCCACAGGAGAAACATTTTGGGTTAAACAGTCTGTAAGATGCCCAAGAATAATGTCAGCTTTGCAGGGCACAAATTTAAAAGTAACCAGGATATGAAAGACAAACAAGGAAGAAAGGATCCTATTGGATAAGCAGAGGAGGGGTGATACTTATAAGAGATTAGTTATGTCAAATAGGGACTCTAGCTACAAAGTCACTTACTGACAACTATTGACTTGAGTAATAGGAATTTTGTATTTATATTACTAGGTGGTAGTCCTGGCTACCCTTGTTTTATCATTGATTCTGTAAGTGTTTCTT